ATATGAATATGAATGAACAGAACTGGTTTCTTCCCTCACTAATTCACCCAGAATTTGGTCTTCCTCTTTCTCAGCTCCACTTCAGACAATTGCCTCAGGCCTTTTAATCACTCACTCAGCCAATCAACAAGTATTTATTAAGTGCCTACGGTGTTCAAGACGTTGTATAAGGCTCTGGGAATACAAAGGCCCTGAAGGAAGTTCCTTGTGGTTTCCCTACGTTCCCTAAACATTTGTGTCTATTACTACCTTATTCCTTTTTTTCTTGCTTGTCTGACAGCTTACCTTTCTTGTATCCATTACCCCAGTGCCATGTCTCCTGTGCCTTCCAAGGTGTCAACCAGCAAATCTGACAATGCACGCCATTAAGGCAATGGGAGAGAGTCAATGGGCTTCATTCCACTCTTTAAAAAATGTAGCTTTTTGGTCATTCAGAGATAATGGTCCCTATTTGTTGTCAGATCCCGGTTGAGTGAGTAATAGAGGAAAATTTGCCAAAGTTTTCATTTTGACAGTTGGCTCTATGAAAATGAACTAATCACTATAATAATTACCTAGATATAGCTAACAGGATGATTGTCTTTTATTATTAAATCTCTCTCCTAATCAATGGTATTGGCCTCCCTAGGTAGGGCTCTATTCCCTCCCTATCATTATGTCTTAAAATTCCCATGGTGATTTCCATAACTTTGTAGGTATAATGAGAACATTTTCCCACTTAGCCTTCATATTCCCTGTTCTCTTTGCTCCCTGATGGTACTACAGCTTTTGGGAAGGTTAAAACCTGCTATAGCCATAAAGGCTCTCAGCAGCTGTGATGAACAGCTAAAAGTACCATTGTAATAAGAAGCTCTTCTCTATAGATCTCTCAGTCATAGTTAATGTACCTTCTGTGGTCTATCAGCTGTGAAGAATATTTCCTGCTGGATAGGTTCATAAAGCAAGTTTTTCAAGTACCCAGGGTACTATTAACACTTTCCTAAGTTGGGCTTCGGTCTCTGTAACTCTTAGGAAAAAAATCTCTCTACTTTCCATTATGGAAAAAAATACATTCTTCCTGAGAAAAGGTATATTGGACCTGGAACAACCACTTTCAAAGAAAACAAAATAACTTATCTTGAAAAAATTAGGATAAAATATGTGGTTTTAACATTATACTTTAAAAAAAAACACCTCCAAAATTTTATTGGAAAGTATCTTCTTTTGTTTTTCCATCATCACATCAAAATGTCATTCAGCTAATGACTCTGGACTGCTAGCTGCTTTTTCCCCAGGAAGAAAAAAGAAATCTATTGTTAACCATGAATGACTGGCAAGACGAAATGGGTATAGAAGAGCAGTTAGAAATGACCGGATCCATGTGATGGTACTTCTGGGGCATGTACCTTGGGTTGAGTTATTCCTTAGTCTTTCTCCCTGCTATTCTGTATGCAGCACAGATGGGTTGGGACTCATTTTTCTGAGCAGTGAAACTGTAGATATCTTCATCTCAGCATCTTTCTAAGAATTTTAAATCGAAAGTTTCCTGCTACAATGAACACTGAGCAACTTTGTTTAAATTGTGAGAAATTATGGAAGAGGAGACATCCTTTGGTACATTTTACTCTAGGCATAGAATAAATTTGAAAATAATTTTCAAAATAGTAACTATCTGGCATCAACTGAATTCAAATGTATGGAACTGTACAAAATGAAGATAATAAAGATAAATGTCGACAAATTATGTGTCCTGGTAGTCAAAGAATATGTTAACATTGATTGGTAGTGGAGACTTAATGTAATACATTGAACACCAAAGACTGACTTGTTTCTGAATAACTCCTAACATTATCTATTATCAACAATCAATTATGTTTTACCAAAACCCTAAGGCTTTGTACAACACTAGCTCAGAAAACAAGAGATCAGAAGCTAAACAAGACAAAACAAAATATCAGCAGAGTCTTTGTAATATTTTAGCATGCATCATCTAAAAAAAGGGTTAGGAAATTAAAAATGGAAATCTGATATACAGGGTAAATTAAGTAATTGGCAGTTTAATGTAGTGAAAAGAATGCAGTGGATCTGGATTTGTATATTGGCTTGGCCACCCACTACCTATGTGATCTTGAAACTCTCTGAGTCTCAATTTTCTTAAAGGTAAAAGAACAGCAATTGACCTAGATGTCCTCAGAGGTCCCTTCTAGTTCTAAGTCTGTGATTTTGTGAATTACTGTGATAGAGGCTTATGATATTTATAAAAGGAGAAATTAGATTTCATGAAGGCATGATGCCTTACTCGTATAATATGGTCAGTCTTCATTCCAGAAAGGAAATGTCAAAAATGCTGTTTTGTCATCAACTGTACTCCACTATTTCTTTGTTCCAAGTATTGACTAATGGAGACTGCTTAATTTGTCTTATCACCTTTTAATTCTACCTTCTATTGTAGAACCTCTGAGAAAAATAAAGGCATGAAGGTATCAATATCACGGATTTGTGAAAGATTGCTTGGAACTGCCTATTTCTCTAAACAGATGAAGAAGTAAGGGCTACCACATTTGAATATGAGCTACTGAAAGGAGTTATATAGAGGATGTCATAAAATACCCTCTGTCTGACTTTAAGATAAGGGTAATTCTTATTTCATTGAACAGAGTAAATGATGTCCTGCCAAGAAAATGAAAGAGAATGAGTAATCTCTCAGTTCTTCCTAGGAATCTGGTTAAGATAATCTCTTTTGAAGAAACTTGAAAAGAGATATTTAAAATATTTTCAGTTGATTTTCTCAATGTAAAATTTTATTTTCATTGTTTTCTGTTTTATTTTATTTTGTTTTGGTTATTGGAGGGTAGTTGGCATGTAATGATATTTTCCTTTGAAATTGTATGTTCATATTTATGAAGTGAATTTTTCCATACATAGACTGATCATGAGATTTTTTTTCACAATATTGAAAATACTTCTACTAAGTAGCACCCTGGGTATTTTCTTCTTTGGGTCGCTCTGTAGTAACATTCAGTGTCCACTAATGATACAATTCTTCCCCCTGAAACCCAAGGTAATGTTCATGGGGGGTGCAACTTTTATAGGCCTGAATTCTCTTCCGGTGCCACAGATAATTATGGACATATGCACTATTGCGGGAAAGGGGAGAGGGTTGGAAGAGTAGAGAAGTGGATTCTCTCAGTACAGTCCCATTCTGCTCGTGTCCATTCAGTGCAGAAGAATTCAGTGAAAGGATCTAGTACCTCCTATCTCAAAATGAGAGTTAGGGTTAAGTCAGTTGATCTAGAACCAAAAGTATAATCTCATGATCAAGGCTGGCTAGGTATGCTATGACTCTGACACCTAATTCTTGTCTGAAGTCTCTTTATTACGCATTTATAGCATTGGAATGTAAAGCTGAATGCCAACGGTATTTCTAATTATTTTTCATTAGATGTGGCTGATGATTTTCATGACAAAGATAAAAAACTCCCATGTACAAATGATTGATTGTTATCTTTGGCAGAGAATTTTGGAATATAAATGTGTGTAGGTTTTTTTTAAAAATATATAATCTACTTCCATCACCTACATTTTCCTCCTCCCATTGTTTTTTCAACCTATAGCTTATTCTTCAAGTTTCTCACCTTTCTCTTAATTTGACAGTCATTTGTTCTTACTGGTAATAATATTAATTTGAACATTTGTAGGATTTGTTGGTTTCATATACAAATGCTGTTTGCAAATATTAAGTATTTCATCTAGAATTACTTGAAAGTTATTAAGTAATGACATGCTTTTTAATTTATTCATTAATCAAACCTGGTTCTTTTAATCAACAAACTCAGAAAGTTCTTCTTAAGTACTCACATGCTCATATTTATCTCCTCATTTGTCCAAGAATTACACATCGAAATATATTATACACCTCAAGAGGTTTAGAAAAGTAGAAAATTCACACGCACTACCAGCTGATAAATTCTCCCAAGGAATAAAATTGCTTGCTTTTGAAAGATTTTTTTTCTTTCATTTAATGAATGGCTTCAAGTCTGCCTCTGATTCCTCAGCCTAGTATAGAGCTGACCTTGTGTTAAAAAGGCCTTCACCAGTGCAGTATAAGGTCTGCTAAGGGTTGTAAGAGTTATATGCACATGCACCTGGCAAAGGGTCATATGTCTGTTCTCGAGAGTCAGCACAGATAAGTTTAGTGAAAATGAGTTGTTAATAAATGATTGGCCAATAGGTGACCAAGTTTTTTCAGCCACAGCCAGTTATGAAGACCATTGATTAAGGCAAAGAGGGATCAACATTAGCGTTGCAGCTTTGAAGTTAGTAACAGGTGGTCATTCTAGTAAATTAAAAGAAATCTTTAAGGTTTAAAAGAGATAATCCTTTCAGGAACTGGTTTACTCACCATTAGGATTGGTGTTAAGATGATTAATGAGACATATAACTTTCAAAAAAATAAAAGTCAGTGAAGTTAATAGAATTGCTAGTTACCAGAATCCAATTTGTTTCCAAGGATAAGATCAGTTAGAAATGCCTCAATTAGTTTAGACAAGTAGCATCTGTCAGCTTCCTGATGCAAAAATATAGGGTATTTTACACACAGAGTATGGAGATGAAAATTTAACTCAATTCAGTGGCAAGTGTTTTGTGAGGTTAGAAAGCATGTAAGGTATGAGTTCTCAGTTCTGCACAATGATGCCATATCACCTCCAAATACAAACTACACTACCATCAATCCGAGGAAAGAGAGTATTTTCAGAGTCCATACAAATGCATATCTGACTTACTTATTGGATAGTTTCTTTAGTTTATGTCTGTAACCATCACCTAAAATTTTTCTCTCTCAGTTGCAAAGCTGAAAAATTACACATAGCGCAAAAAAGTTTGGTAAAAATATATTTAAAACAAGCAAGAAAAATATTTTTGGCTGTAAGGATCAGTTTCTTCATTTTGTCAACTGATAACATGTAAATTATATTTCAAATGATTCCAAGTACCAACTTATAAAAAGATGTCATAAATCAGAAAACAAAGAGCAAAGGGACTGTTTTTTTTTTCAGAAAATGTATTTGCAATTCCATTGTTCATATAAAAAGCATAAATTTTTAAAAGTTCATTTATGTTTTTAGAAGTGCTATGGTTTCACCATTCATTGCAACTACATTCCAAAATGCTGTTTCAATGGTCCACAGTGCATTATCCTTACATTTTCGTTACACTGAAGTCACTCTCATCACAACCTCCCCTGAGCTGTTATCTTCTGACAAGTCTTCATGGGGCCTCATTCGATTGAACAGGTGTAACAGTACATAGCCACACTGAAATCTCGGTGAGGTTAATTGTGTTGGATGAACTAAGTTTCTATTTCGCAAAGCTGTCAGTGGCAACCATAATGTCCTAGTCGCTGAAGACTCTCCTCGGCTACTTTCTTCTATATCTGTGGCTTTGTCGTAATTTAATACATCCCAGTGCAAATTAACTGCCCTCCAGCGTTTAAACACTCTGTAAACTGCTGCCCCTTCATGCACAATGAGACCTGAAATCCAGGAAAAGGAAAAGGCCAAGTTACAACACAGAATCTGGGAGCATGATCTTAATGGACAAATATGCAACTCAAGATCTGGTCAATTCTCTGTTCCATAGAGTGTTCTACTTGGATAAACATTGTGGTTCATAGGAAATGCTCTTATATATCACGAATAGAGTACCACAAAGAACAAGAATAAAAAAAGATACATTTTACCAAAAATATAATGAACCTAAGTTTGACTTTCTTTGATGTCTCAGAAGCCACTTTAGGATCTTTCATCTCTTTTGGGTCATCATTATGAATGTGCAATATCATTATATAACCTTAATTAACTAGAATGTTCTGGGAATATGAGCAGCCCTGACTCCATTTTGCATCTGCTACTCTGCCTGGTTTCAACTCCATGGAATAAGCTGCCCCTCCCAAGTTAAGCTCATTACTTCTAAACGTGCCACCTGGCTGCTAGCAAGCCCTGAATGACACCCCCCTCCCCTCAGCCTCTTCTCCCTTCTGAATGGAAGGCTACAAGGCAGAATACTAAACTCCTCCCAATGCTTTCCTTCATAAAAGCCAGAAATCAGACTTTTGGGCTCACTCCACTCTGCACCTGCTGCCCTGCCTGGTTTCAACTCTATGGAACAAGATGTCCCAGGCTGGGTACCTACTGGTGTTCTGTCTGTCTCCTTCTTCCCTGCCTCCTTTTGTATGTTATCTCCCCCTTTAGGCTGTAAGCTCTTTGAGGGCAGGGTCTACCTTTCTTTTTATTAATTATATCCCCAGTACTTAGCACAGCACCTGGCACACAGTAGGTACTTAATAAATGTTTTTTGGATTGACTTTGATTAGTTAGCTGAATAATCTAGTCACCTAAGAATCAATCAGATTTTTTTTTCAATTTCTGTTGTTGAAAATCTTTCTACGGTATATACTTTCCTGAAAGAATACGTACAACAAAGTGAACATAATTTAATCTTTCTTTTGTGAGTAAGAATTTTGCTCATCTCAGGGTTATCATTCTGAATATCTATTTTTCATTATGCAGAACCACAGCTATATGAGGGAGGGTAATGGTAAGCACTCTAAAGGAGAATCTAGTGACCTGGATTCTAGTCCCAACACAGTCTGTAATGATCTGTGCCATCTTAGGTAAGTAACTTAGACTCTCTATGTTCCAGTTTCCCCATCTGTAAAAGAAGGGGCTTAGATTAGATGATCTCTCAGGTCCCTGCTAGTTTCAATAGTTCAATTCTTATGTACTAATGCCAGCACAGATTCTGGAAGTAGTGCTATTGACTAAATCCCTCCTAGGAGCTTCCCCAAGATTTGTTTCTATAGCCCAAGGGTAGAGTACAACACAATTATGAAATCCAACAAACATTCCCTGAGCATTACTTCATGCAGCTCATTGGTCAATGGTAAAAGATCAACATAAAATGCACCGTATAAGAATTACTCTATGGGAGATTTGTTGGAAAACATGGACCAAAATCATATTGGATAAGAAAAACATGGAGAGTGTACACTCAATCAAGGGAGAACACGAATTGGTAAAATCTTAGACCTAGCCAAGAGTTACATGCAAAATGCTATGCTAAAGGCTGTCAGAAATGTACTGAGCCATACACATGCAAAAATGCTGCCTAGTAGAAATTTAAGAGTTAAATCAGTTTTCATCATTCATGCCCACAAAAATATCCAGTATCTATTTTATCAAAATATCCACAAATATCCCTTACAAATGACTATGGTCCCTTCACAATTAATGTAGGCATCAATCCAGCAATCAATCAACCTACAAGAACTTGTGTTTTTAAATGACTATTGTGTGCCAGATACTGTACTAGGCATGGGGAATACAAAGAGAGACATGAGACAGTCCTGGCCCTATCCACTGTTGAGATAGAGTAGATATCAAAAGTATTATGAGTAAATATACCCTAGTAATCTTTCTAGGCTGCCGTCATGACACCAAAATACCCAAGTAAAATTAAAGAACTCAGTTAAACAGTAAGTCATGCCAAATGATTTTTAACTCACTTTATTTTACATTCGAGTAGTCAAAACAAAATTAAACCAAATTGGTAAGATGATTCAGTGTCATAGAGAGAAAACCTGATTCAGGAGAACTGGCTTTTAATTGCTGGCTTGATGAATAGTTTAAATTACCCCTTAGAGTTATTTAACCTTTTGGGTTTGGTTTGATCCTCACTAAAATGGCAGCTGTAATATGTGCCCTTTGCCTTCACCAGTATGGTAATGAGGATAAATTAGAATCCATCTAACTGTAAGGCACAAAGGCAGAAACTACATAAATACACAATAGCATTAATTTTTTTAAATCAATACTATGCAGTAAGGAACACTTACTCTCACTTGACAAAATAATTACATCATGAAATAGATAGGTTCATTGTGGGTATTTGCTATGATTAGGAATGATTCAATTGGAGACCCCCCTCTGATTTTGTAGGACTCTATGATTTTCTATTGACTTCTTGGGCAAGGCCAGAAATCAGAACAGTCATTCAAACTTTCAGGCACTTCTGGGGCTACATTTCCAGTAGTTCTTTTCTAAATATGCAAATCCATCAAATGATCAGCAAAAATCTCATAGGTCTTTACAGCACATTTAAAAATTAATTTGAAGAGAATCTCCTACTTGAATCTCTCTTGAAAGCACAGTCCTCTGGAAATTCTGGGTCCATGTTGCCTCCCTTTAATTGCATTTTGAGATATTAGTGGTGTGTTTAGTTTTCACAAATACTTTCCATTAGCATAGAGATATAATCTTTGCACTCTAGAAACTTCTAATTTACTAAAGTAAGGTCAATGTCAAACATATGCCACAAAGTTTTTATCGTTTCTTCCTTTTATGAGTTTTCTAGGAACAGATACAAACACTTTTCCAAGTAATATTGCCAGGAAACATGGCATGAGCCCTGTGACTGCTGAAGTCCAAGGGACAGGATTCACCTCATTATAACATCTAGAAAGAGAAACTGGTTTGTTTGTATTTTATTTTGTTTTTCTAATAAAAAACCATTAGCAACATTGGTTACTGAGAATTAAATCTCATGGGTGGGGGAAGGTTACGGTAGGAGAGAAATCACTATCTTTTCTGCCTTGTGTTTTCTGAACTTTCGTCATAACCAGAGCTTAATGTCTGGTTATAAGATATAGGTTGCACGGTGGGAAAATGGCAGCTGCACCAATGTGGTGTTCTTCTCCTAAGATCACACATCTAGAAACAGAAGGAAATTCAAAGGCCATCTAGTATAATCTTTCATTTTACAGATGAGGAGAAATAGAGTTAATAAACTCATTAGAAAAAATTAAAGAGATACACTACTTTTTTGTATTGTGCTTGTTATATAATAGCATGAAAGACTCGTTAAGATTCTGCATCCATTGTCCGCAGCTTAAGAAGGGAATTTTATTGCCCTTTAGAGTTTTCAGTTCCATTATTCCCCTTTGGCCTCTCCTTGCCCATGCCATCTCATTTGATTATCCTGCTCACAGGTGTGAGTTAAGATCTCAGCCTAGAGAATCATATTTCACAAACCAACACAATTTTAGCAGTAAATAAATCTATCATTTGAATACCAAAAATAGCTTATTTATAAACTATTTGCACCCCAAATTATGGAACAAAGCATTTGGCAGTGAGATTGAGAGTCTTACACAAGAGCTAGAGATGAGATAATGACTAAACGGAAGGATGGGGGAGCAGCAGAGCATCATTTGCATAAATGCATTTCAAATTCCTAGCTCTCTGATTGTCACACACTGTGCTAAGGAGACAATCCAAAAACCCGCAGAAAAAAAAACAGAATTTGTTTTTTATTTCATCTGAACTTCTAACCTACTTGTGAAACAGTGTCATGGATAATATCACTTTATTTCAGTTTGGTTAAGTAAATACTTTCCCAATATCAATAGCCTAGATATTTCTCAGAATCATATAAAATTAGAGCTGAAAAGACCTTTAATCTAGTAGACACCATCATTTCCTAGGTGAGGAAACAGAGCAGGGAGGCTAAGGATATTTCTAGTATCATGGAATAAGTTTTTTTCACATATTTGCTTGAAGACATTCAGAAGAATGATTATTACATGCTATTAGTTATGTTTTAAAATTTCAACATACGCAAAAAAACCCCAACAACTTGTTTTATCTGCAGAATTTCTGATAGGTGAGAAGAGAGAAGGCTGGCCTATCTATATAGGTGTATATATACATATATATATATATATATATATATATACATATATATATATATATATATATATATATACATATATATATGTATGTATACACACATATGTGTATATGTATACGTATATATATATGTATACATATACACATATGTGTGTATACATATATATACATATACATATATATTTATATGTATGTATACACACATATGTGTATATGTATACGTATATATGTATACATATACACATATGTGTGTATACATATATATACATATACATATATATATATATTTAAAAAAACACAACAAGGAGTGATGAGAACATCAGCTGTCAGGTATAGCCTCTTCCAAGGTGATAGCTGTGCTGCAGCCACTGTCAAGTATTACAAGGACCACAAGCTAAAGCAATTTGAGAAAGAAGGACCCATGGGAAATCTAAGAAATTCTGGGCAACTGCAGACAACAAAAGGGCCCTTCTCTGTGTTGGTAGCCAGGACTTTCAGGTTCAGATTCGGATACTAGATGTCCCCTTGCTGAGGTGAAGAAGATGATGTCTGTGCTGTGAGGATGTACAATGTAGGTCACTATTCCTGGCAATTCCATAAGTACCCATGCTACATATTTACTTAATATAGGTTAGTAATAATAATAACAATAATAATGCTTGTATATAATGCTTTAAGCTTTGCAAAGCACTGAATGTATTAGCTCATTTGATCTTCATAACAAACTCATGAGGTATTAGTACTAGAAAGCATTTTGAAAGCAGAAATAATGAATCTCTTTCATGGC